ACGCAGATGATCTGATCACAGCGCCACTATCAAACCTCGAATGTCGAAAGTGACGAAATGTTTCGGACCCGGCATGCAATCCTCTGGCTGCAGATTGAATAAAATCACACAAAGGCTTCCTCTTGCGCGCCGTCTTCCGAAATCTTACTTTCAATTTGCCTCCGTCGACTGCTCAGAAACATTTCCACCATGTGCTTGCTTGACATCGGCGAAGGCATGTCGTGTGGATCTCCAAACTGACCCAAATTATCCGGCCGCTCGCCAGCCCGCGCATTCTCGTTGGTCGTTCTTCTAATTGAGCGGCACTGCTGAGTTCTCGAATCCGAAGAAACTGTCAGACGCCGTGCCGCGTACCTGCGATACCGCTCACCTGCCAATTCCGTCTGCTGAGAGTCCACTCCACGCCTCTTAGGGGTGGGAGAATCTAGTATCTGAAGTCGATTGCTTGATCTCGCTTGCATTGGCGACAAGGCAGGCTCGTTCTCGCGCGTGCGTACTCCCGTGGTAGGCAAAGTGTACCCCCGAGAGTAATCCTTCACACTGGGAGAAGAGAAGACCGAATCCGCGGATGGAGAAGACTGCTCTTTTGCGTGCTCTTTTTTAGAAGGTACAATCGTGCGGACGCTCGACGACCGACTGAATGGCCGGGAGAAATTATTGCTTGGTACAACTTTGCCGCCGGTTTCCATTTCACCCTCGAAAATACTCTGAGACAGAGAGCTTGTCTGAGTGTACGAGGATTCGCTGTTTCCGGAGACTTGGTGAGGAGCAGATGATAGAAAGTCCCCTGCCTCCTCGTGAATCTGTGCATCCTCTCTATAGTGGTCTCTAGGGGGAACGATTGTCTCGAATCTTGCCACCTGTGAAGACATCCATTGTTTCCATTCAGCACTGGGCCGCACTCGGGTTCCACTAGACGAAGAGCGAGCAATACGCTTGGGGGAGCCGTAAGCGGTCCTCTGGCTTTTATAGATAGTCACTATCCCTGGCTCATCCTCCGTTTCCGACGAATACAAATCGATAACCTGATCTTTCCTTTCAGGAGAATTCCCACTGGTGGTCCGAGAATAGATGCTAGGAGAGTTGGAGAGAGTTTCTGGATCGGCATGACTGGCGACGATCACGCTTCGGGAATCGTCCTCCGTGTCTTCAGCACTTGCAGCGGCAGGTTCCTCTGCATTGCCGACTGGACTGAACTTCAGGTTTGCGCTCGCTTTCTTCGGCGCACTTGATATCCTTCGGGAAGGCATGGACGACCGGGGATGGCGCTGCGTCTGTTTCTGAGGAGTTGACGTACCTGCGTTGGCCGTGGCAAATGTCCTGGAGCTCGCAATCGATGCATCACTTGGTATCTGGCGGATGGTCTGCTTGCTGCGCCTGGGGTGAAGGGAAGACGTGCGCGCTGGTATGAGTCGATGCTCTTTGACTTGGTCGACTACAAGCTCCTCACTGGGAGTGGGCGTATCTTCTCTGCCGATCCGCCTTAACAACGCGTCGTACAAGTGCTTGCTGTCGATGGACCCGTCTGGTCGTATTGGACCTGGCCTTGGCGGAAGTTCGGAACTGGCACGCCCGTTAAAGTCTCCTTGCTCGTTAATGATGGACAGATAGTCACGCTCGGGTGCTCTGCGGGTTGTGATCGTATTTGCGACGGTTGAGTCAGCCCAACTTGTTACACGAGAGCGGGAAGTCGCAAGACTTTCATTGCTTCGAACACTCCGCACCGTGGGTGGTCTGCTGTGGCCGATGGCCTCATGGGAATGGTCAAACTCCTCGCTGTGGCTAAAATCTCCGTCAGATATGGTCGATGATGGGCCACAATCGTGTTGCTGAAGTGAGGAGGGTGAAGCTTCCGCTTGCCCTGGAGCCGTTGCTGTCTTTGACAGCCCCAAAACTCGCTTCAACCCTCTCTTGATAGACGAAGAAAGAGCCCGCGCTTTTCCGCGAGAAGAAACTCTTTTGGACTGCCCCGCCGAGGGTGAGGCGTCTGTGTCCATACCCGAGCCGCTGGTAGTGCGAAATGTCTTTCTGAAGGGTTTATGCTCACGTCGCGGCTTGAGCGTGGTGATGGACGATTGTCTTTGGCTACTGAGCTGACCGACCATGTTCTCCTGGAACTGACTGCGTGCGAGTTGGACAGCTGCCTCTTGACTCTGCGTGTGGCGGATGGCTCGAGGAGATTGACCACTTCTCAGAAAAGACATGGAGCGCCTCAACGTCCTGTACGAGCGGGGCATGTCAAATTGCTCTGCGTCATTGATCCTCCGAGCATATGCATCAGATGAGAATTCGTGAGAGATATACGAAGAACGCTGTCTGGTTGAGAACATCGAACGTGCTTTCCGAAGCCGGCGATAGGAGGAGGGCAACGAGGAGTCACGACCATCCAGGCCTCGAAACTCACTTATGGGCGGCAAGGCCGCCGAGAAAGTGAGGTCATCGTCGCGGCTCTCTATATAGCTCGCAACGGATCGGCAAGAAGGTGAAGCGTCTTCGACTGATGGATTCTTGGCCGAAGCTTGCGTGTGACGGGGCGGCCGGGGTGGTCCTCTCGATGGGACTGCCATGCTTTCCAGGCCACCTAGCCGGTCATACGAGTGCTTAGAGTCTGCAGACGATCTGTCCGAGGAGCGCAGCATGGCGCGAGAGGCAGCTGCAGCGGCATGCTGTCTGGCAATAGACGGGTCGAAGGGCTCTGAGGGTAGGGAAGACTTACGCGACCTGCGGATGGACCGAGCGGACTGACTTCGACGCAGGCGATCGTTTGCGGTTAGGGATATAGAGGGCATCCTTGGCATGATCTTTTCGAAGGAGATATAGTTGAGTACTGATGTGAGCTAAGGGATGAGTATGGGTGAGGGAGGTTCTACAACATGGAGATACATTATCGTTGGGGCATGGTGTTGACAATGGCAACCGCGCCGAAATAGAAGGTGCTTGGGGATACCATAGACGCAACATGACGGCAACAGATCCCAGGCGCAGCTTCCTTGTTGCTTCAATATCTATGAACATTGGCAGTTGTGGCAACAGCCAAGTTCCCTGCAAACCTCTGCCTCTACCCATGACCATGAAAGAGAGACTAGACCCGGAAGAATGTCGGTTGGTCGATTTCAAACCAGCGAACTACTGATCGTCCCCAGGTGATATTCCCCTGTGTATGGAAACACCGAGAATCTGTCTTCCGATATGAGTCCCTTGTGATCACTCGTTGAGTCACCCATGACGATAGGACTTCTTCTGCGGTACATCTTCATAAGAAAATCGAGAAAGCAAACTGACAGCCTCTTGATTCCCCTTCTTCTGCGCCAGTTGAATGTCGTCCGTCTCAGGATGTACCCCATACTCGAGTAGAAACCTCAGTATCTCCATCTGGTCATAATAAATCGCAACGTAGGTGGTACTACAGTACATCGGCTCCTCCTCAACGCATAGGCCGTTGCACCAACTCAGAAAGTTATCCTCCATGTCGCCAGGCTCCAGAAGGGAGCGACTATCGATCTTCTGAAGAAGCTGGACGTGATTTTTCTCCCACCTGCTGTCGTAGCAATCGCCCAGCCGGTTGGGATCCGCGCCGTGGGCGATGAATAGTCTAACCATTTCTAGGCTCCCCTTGGAGATTGCAGCAAACAGGGCATCACCCGCATAATACGTTCCGTGGAGTCCGTTCACCAGCAGGAAGTGCAACAAGTCCGTATCTCTGCGATTCATTGCCATCGGCAGAACATACCAACAATGACCGCACGATCCGTGGCGCAGTAGGGTGCGAATGATCCGGCGCTGATTATGCTCGATTGCCCAAAGAAGCGGACACGTATTCAACCCGTAGCAGGAATCTCCCCTCCCACATAAAAGGTCCACAAGGTCCTCGTGGCCGTTCTGTACGGCGAGATAGAGCGGTGGGATGTTGTTAGTGTAGCCCGCCGGACACCGGAAGATGGTCTGCGCGCCGTGATCCAAAAGAAGATTGACTACGCGCTTTGAACCAGCTTGCACGGCTACCAGCAGCGCACGCTGAATGAGGACCGTATCCTCGACCCTCCAGTTGGTGGTGCATAGAGGGTGTTTGTACGGGTTGCTTACACGGGGGCCCGGAAATGACTCGGCAGCGAGTGCCATCCTCTTTAGACGTTCCATAGCGAGTCCTTCATCACCATGGGCGGCGGCGCAGCATAGAGCGTCTCCATGACAAGCTTGGTAGCTGTGTTTCCTGAGATATCCTTTCACTAGATGGAACAATCCACGAGAGGACAGGACAAGGGCCCTGAGGTCCCTGTAGCAGGCCAGATGAGTGGCGATCAGAAAGATGACTTCGTTTGGGAGTTTGGAGAGGGACATGGCGAAATTCAGTCCGGTTGAATGCAGCTATAGGGATGTTGTGGGTTTAGGAATAGAAACGAGGCTGACGAGGCTCTGCGGGGTTTTGATGACTCCGAGGCTGAGCCTAGGGCTTACGAGGCGATGATGCTTACTGTCATTGTAATATTATGAGCAGGAGATCCATCCGAGGTCAGAAATACTTCTCAATCCTGTAATGAACAACTCTCCCAACCAGTGGTCAAACCATGACTATTGCCCTGTTCCTGGTTTGTTATGGATATATAGTAGTCCAGTTGCCGCAGCAGTACCTTTTCGAACATGACTACATTTGCGGAGTCTATTCTTTTTCATTAACTGAACGCATTTGTGATACCAGGGTAGCTCAGAATAAGTTGATTTGGTCCACGGCTGAATCCTCGAAACCTGCCGATGCGTCACTTATTGAGTCATGCAATGAAGTCCAGGCCTGACCGTGAGTCACGTAGATATACAGTAGCCACCGACCCGTAAAAGGTTAGAATCACTTTAAAGATATAGGCAGCATTGTGTGTTGTTTTGATAGAATATTCCCCGCAAAAGTGCATATATATATATACATTTTAGCTCCCGTTCGACAACATACTATGTCCTCTACCAAAAATGATAAATGCACCCCACAAGGTCCTCTCGAACAGCCAGATATGTCGTCATCTCCAACCAGACGAGAAAGGATTCACCTTGATGGCCGCACTCTCGAAGGAGGAGGTCAATTAGTGCGTATCGCGCTGGCCCTCTCCACCATCACCGGCAAACCCATCACAATCGACCACATTCGCGGCAACCGCACCGGCAAGAAGGGTCTCAAAGCATCCCATCTGGCTGCCATCAAATACCTAGCAGACGTCAGCGGGAGTGCCGTCTCAGGCGCCGAGGTGGGATCGTCTTCATTGACCTATCATCCCCCAGCAGATGCAGAGACCTGCGTTCGACAAAACGGAGACATTACCATCCACCTCCCAACAGCTGGGTCTATATCACTAGTCTTTCAGGCTTTGTACCCGTATCTACTTCATACAGCGGGCTGTCTATCGGACGAAGAACCACAGCCCGTCCGTATGAGCATCACAGGAGGCACAAATGTATCCTTTTCGCCGTCGTATGATTACATCTCGCAGGTCCTGGTGCCGAATTTCGCCAGGGTTGGGCTTCCACCGCTCGCCGTCCGTCTGGACAAGAGAGGATGGGCGACTGGACCGTTCAGTTTGGGGAAGATGACGTTCGTCATTCACCCAATGCGCAGAAACCAGGAGTCTCGTTATGGGTTTCCTCAAGTCGATCTAGACAGATACCCGAGGGGCAGGATCACCCATATCGATATCACGGTTTTGGCACCGGATACTCTCCTATTTGGCGGATCTGAGCAGCATGCGCATCGAAAAGAGGGGAATTCGCAAACATCGAACAATACTTCTCGGCCTATAACTGTCCGCCAACTCATCGAGTATGAAACCATGCGTATGCTGCGCACTCGACTCCGAAAAATGCCCTCCTCGATAGTCAAAGGAGGAAGTGCGGGTCCACCAGCTAGTCCACATGAAAACGACGAGATTGTGCCTATCAATCTGCATGTCTCAGAAAGAACGCACCACCGCTCACATATTTACCTTCTCATCGTGGGATATACATCGAATGGGTTCAAGATAGGTCGAGAGGCGCTTTTCGGCGCTCACGCGGAGGGTTCTCTGAGAAAGACACTCGGCCGAAAAGGTCGACCGACAGATGATAGGAGTATAGCTACAGAACTGGTGGAGAGATGCGTGGATGCCTTTGAGTATGAGTTGTATGACCTACGGCTGCACAGTAGATGTGCAGGACGTCAGCCCTGTGTGGACGAGTATATGCGAGATCAGCTGGTTATATTCGAGGCGCTCGGCATGTCTACATCCAAGAATGAAGCCGATGGCAAGGGCAAAGAGGGTGAGGAGTATTATAGTCTCCATACGAAGACAGCACGGTGGGTATGCGAGCAGATGTTGGGCGTGGAGTGGTAAGAGGTCACCAGTATCACCACTATGAAGACTACTGGCTTACCTCAAACCTACAATCGTTCAAAATCATGGATTGCTAGCAGGTAGAGAGGATCAGTGTCACGGCTGGCCGAAACACCGATATACATCTTGACCTCATCCACCAACACACCCTCCTCCCCAGCTTCCTCCACAAACCTCTCAACAATCAATCTCTTCGCCCTGTCCCTTACTCACCCCTCCCCGAAATTCCTAAACATAGGGCCCGAAACCGCCTGCTCGAACAGCTCTCCAGCCTGCTCAACCTTGTACTCCTTCACCTGGAACACAGGACTCACATACACCCCTCTGGACCACCAACCCGGCTAACACCTTATCCTTTACCCAGCTTTGATCCCACTGCATGGACAGCCCAAGGATCCGCGCAGGGACATGCACATCCCTAGCCGCCACATCCGTAGCCAACCTGCCGCCCGTAGATGGATGCGATGGTGGAGGGGCTGGATGAGGGCATTTTGGGTTACGATTCTGTTGGTGGTTTAACGCATCGATGGAGTGTGATAGATGGGCAAGTTGTACTAGCGTCCACGCCGGTTCCTAGTTGAATATATTGGACATCTCTCAGTCAAAAGAGTCACTCAGAATCCAACAATTAGTCGATCTCCTCGATGACATTGAGTCGGTTTCTAGATGATAGTTGTTACTGGCCGCTGCTCTTCCATTATTCCCCTCTCATGCAGGTGAGCGAAGCGGAGCTGACAAGCCAGAGAGCGACAACACATAGAATGGCTTTCACTACTCCGAGTAGATATCAGTCAGCAAACTGCGGATCCAACATGATGCGGGGTGATATCATGTTCCAAGTAACCATGTAGAGCAACAGCAAGTGCAGTACCTTATTCGAGTCTTTTGTGATCGGCATGACCCACCAGTTTGACCTAGTACGGGCTTGTATCGCACTCTCAGCGAATTGGACGAGGAGCTCCTCAGATTTTTGTATTGATTGACGTTTGTACCAGTATGCAGCTTATGATGAGATGTTCATCGCCGTTCCCTTGATTGGTTCTAATATCCTGCATAAATGTCCTATACAGTTATGCCCATATTATACGCCACCACGACCAGTTGGCGGTCCTCTGGGCTTGGGAACAGCGACCACGGGTACAGACTCCCGAGTCCCGACACAGGAGGCAAATGCTTAGACTACGGGGGAAGGCGCTAATTACAGAAATTTTCAGGTCCTCTATTTGAGGCTTACTCCCCCGCTATAGATAGTTGCAAGGAAGGGTCTAGAACTCTGCCTTTTCGTCGTCTGCAAGCCACCCCGTGGGAGGCGTCGTCAAGCTCCGCCGTTTCTGCAAGGAATGATCAGGCCAGGCACGGAGTCATTGGCATGCATGAGATCTACGTATTAAGTGCATAGCATGCATTTTCTATCATTCTACTGTGTATGACAGCCGATGTCCTTTCGGACTTTGACTATGTAAGAGTAACAATTTCTAGGTTGCCGAGACCCGGGGTGTTCAAAATTGAAACCTGACAGGAAAAGAGGCGTGGTGCAGCCCCACCGGCCACGCAAATTTACGGGTCCATTTCCTTGTATCTCGACGAGAGCGTACCGTAGAGAGGAGAAGGATACAGACTAATACAACACTAAGAAATAAACCCATGAACCGGCCGTTTTGTTCCGTGCTCCTAAATCATAACTCCTCCGTTATGACCTCCTTTTGAGTCCCACTTGCTACTGCAAGACCAAAAAAAGAAAAAAGGGGAGAAGAGAAAGGAGAGCAAGCCTCCTATGTCCTCTTTATTTGCTCTGTCTTCATGACTACCCCATTTCTCCATACTCTGACATATCTGAAGATGCCCTGGATCGAGTCATCGGGCATCTAGTGACCTGTCGTGCTTGATTCCCCACTAGAGCTTTATTCCGTCGCCTATCCCCCGTCAACATGAGTGCAGAAACACCTCGAGCCGATGGAACCGACACGGGTCAGTCGGGAGACTCGCCTACTGATCTACCAGGAAACCTGCCGCCATTAGAGGAGCAACCCGAAACTCCCGTCCATGAAGTGCATCGCAAGACGTCCACCCAGGGAAGCCAGAGTCAGGAGGGCCATCGTGAAGATTCGCAGCAGGATGTTCGGTCCACCAGATCGTCGTCTGTATTCAGTCGAGATCGATGGCTGCAGGCTAGCCGATCAGTCCGACAGAAAACCGGGCGGCTGGCAGACAGGCTAGGCCGGCCGGAGGGACAGGATGCGAACGGGCTGGGCTCCTCGTTGGTCCCGATGGAAGAGCTGGGCTCAAGAGATGACGAGAAATTGGCGGCCATCTTCAGAGACAACAAGGATTCGGGACTCTCCGACCAGTCCAAGCTGCAAATGGCGGTGGAAACCGAAGCTCAGCAGCTGATGCAGGGCTTTGGTCTGGCCGAGATGCGCCATCGCAAACCGTACGCAGAGACGAACGAGAAGGAGAGCTCGTTGCCCGAATCGGATGCCACGACGCTGGCGGACCGTGCCGGGACAGACGTCGAGGCCAATGGCAATACGCCCCCACCGCTCCTGGGAGGAGGTGTGCTGTCGGCTCTGCTCCGGCTCCAGGCGAGCCAGATGGAGCATTCGCGCACCAACAGCATGTATTCCGCCCCCGAGTCCGACATCGAGTCCACGCCTACGCTGTCCGGCACGGTGACACCCACTCCCGGCGTGCCCCAATCCGCCTCGAGTCCTCCGCCTCCCCGACAGAAACCGCAAGCATGGTACAAGAAATCCCGAAACAGCTCGACCGCCTCGTTGATCCATGCGTCGATGAGTATGGGCCGCATCGGCTCCGCGTCGGCCTGGGCCAATGCGAACGTCCCGCCGCCAGAGATCAAGAACGGCACCAAGGGCACCAAGGGCGCCAAGGGCAACAAGAAGAAGAAGAGGAGGAACGACGACGAGGTGAAGCTGCGGTATCACATCGCCGACATCATCGTCCGTCAACGCTACATCATGCAACTGTGCCGTGCGTTTATGCGATACGGTGCCCCCACCCACCGACTGGAAGAGTACATGCAGATGACGGCTCGCGTGCTGGACATCGAGGCGCAGTTCATGTACCTTCCCGGCTGCATGATCATGTCCTTTGACGATCCGTACACTCGCACCGCCGAGGTCAAGCTGGTCCGTGTTCCGCAGGGGCTGGACCTGGGCCGGTTAGAAGAGGTCCACGGGTGTTACAAGCGGGTGACGCACGACATGACGGACATGCAGACGGCAATCGGCGAGCTGACGGAGATCATGGACCGCAAGCCGCGGTATCCGCGCTGGCTGGTGATCCTGCTTTATGGCGTGGGCTCGGCCGCCGTCGGCCCATTTGGCTTCTCAGCGCGCCCGATCGACATGCCCATCATTTTCGTGCTGGGCTGCTGTGTCGGGTTCATGCAGCTGGTTCTCGCTCCGCTTTCCGCCCTCTACTCAAACGTCTTCGAGGTCACGGCCGCCATCCTGGTTTCCTTCCTGGCCCGCGCCTTTGGCAGCATCCGGTACCCCGGCACCTCGGACCCGGTCTTCTGCTACGCCACCATCACCCAGTCCTCTATCGCCCTCATCCTGCCCGGTTTCTCTGTGCTGACGAGCAGCCTGGAGCTTCAGTCGCATCAGATGATCGCCGGCTCGATCCGTCTCGTGTACACCATCCTCTACTCCCTCTTCCTTGGTTACGGCGTCACCGTCGGAACCACCATCTATGGCGCCATCGACTCGAACGCAACCAGCGACACCACCTGCGCCCGGCAGAGCGTATGGGGCAGCCCCTACGCCTCTCACTTCCCCTTCGTCGCCGCGTACTGCGTCATCGCGGCGCTGATCAACCAGGCCAAGCTCCGGCAGATTCCCATGATGGTCCTGATCGGGACCTCCGGCTACATCACCAATTATTTCAGCACCCAGAAGCTCGGCTCATCGTCGCAGGTCGCCAATACCGTCGGCGCGTTCACCATCGGCCTGCTGGCGAACCTGTACAGCCGGCTCTGGCACGGCAACGCGGTGAGCTCGACCATCCCCGGTATCTTCACCATGGTGCCATCGGGCCTGGCCTCGTCCGGCTCGATTCTGTCGGCGATCGAGTACTCGGATGCGGTCCGGAAAGGCACCGCCGATTCGTCGGGTGGCGCGTCGGGAACCTCCTTGACCAGTCTGGGCTATGGTATGATCCAGACCGCCATCGGCATTACTGTTGGATTGTTTATTGCGGCGTTGGTTGTTTATCCTTCTGGCAAGCGGAGAACCGGGTTGTTTTCGTTGTAATCAGCATTAGACTATGCATAGCGTTTTGTCAGATAAGCGATTTGCGATTCAATGTTATAGATTCAATTCATATCAGATTGTAAATATTTATGGGTCTTGTACTCAATTGACGCAACATCACATGCTCTTCAGTAGTCGGTATAGGGGATATGACAGCGTGACGGTGCACTAGAACAGACAACTTTTGCACCAAGGGTTTCCATTCTGGCAATGAAGGAGTGGGGCTATAGCAGCCTGCTTTGGATCGCCTACCCTCTCAAGAGTCTTCCTGTCTGATGTGATGGGGACAGGTTCTCAGCCCATCTGTTGGTAGTCATATCTCTTTGATTACCTCCTGTGCAGTTCTTCCTCAGTTCCATAGTCCTGTCTGAGCCTAGATTCAACATACTAGGCCTTCGATGTTTCCAGTATAAAGTCTACGCTCCCTTGTCTTTGTCTGCCACAATCCGGAAAGGCAACCATTCCAAAATGCGCTGAACCCTTTCCTCAACTTCGGCAGCTCCTGGATATCTACGTTGTCCAAGCACGCAAAAGTAGAGTCGGACACATGTGTAAATAACTATTGTGAGCATAATATGTAATTCTGGTCCAAATCTCGTTACATTTTGTGCACTGCAGGCGCCGACTACGGAGATGGTTGTAGAGTCATCTGGGGCGAGCCTTAGCGCTGCAGGAGTAGCGTTGTCTCACCTGGACTATTTGGTGTGATGTCTATATCATCTCGCGCCG